TAAATTTTATTTAGAATAATTTACAAACATTTGAATCTTTAAAAATTCTGTAGTTGTTAAGTGATATTGTTATTAAATATAAATTGTACTTACTAATCCTAAATGGAAAAGTATTCCTAGTGGGTTTCCGCGTAAGTGAATATAACGAACCCAACTGGAATTGGAACTCCGATTAACAATTCAAACCATTATCCGTTACACCATCTGCACAATCAAGCTTAGAGTTCCTGGTTTTCCCAAGCGGTCACCCATCTAGGTACTGACCAGGTTCGACATTGCTTAACGTCGGTGATCATACGGGAATCGGTGTTTCAACGTGATGTGTCCATAAGCCATTTTGTTTTATTCTTAACTAGCAGTAGAGCCCGGCGTTGCCCGGGAATGTAACAGTAAGAGATAGATCAAGTATCGACCATCATAAAGACTGAAAAATAAAATTGACAAAGATCATTGTTTAAGGTTGACGGACACGCATTTTTTTTTACGAATTGGTCAAACTCAAACAAAAATATTGTTTTCAATCGTTATGAGTCTACCGATTGAATAGAATTTTATTATAAACAATTGTCTTGTAAATGGAATTTTTAAAACATTCTGAATGTAAAAATAAAGAAAAAATGCGCAAGACAATAAGAAACACTACCTGTCAAAAAAAAAGTGAAGTTTTGTTGAAATCGGTAGAAAAAATGTAGGAAATCCGATCCCATATATAAACGAACACACACACACACACACACACACACACACACACACACACACACACACACAACCTGGGTTTTATAAGTATAACTCGATATGAGTTGTCCCCTTTTATTCTCGCGATGTCTCTTAATCGTGTTTTCAAATTGATTTCGTGCAAAAACAATTGTGTTTTTCCAATTTTTGGCGCTGTCAGAACCACCGCAAGGTAATTTTACGTAGTCCTGTGAAGTTTTGTTGAAATCGGTTGAAAAATGTAGGAAATCCGATCCCATATTTAAACGTACAGACACACATGCGCGCGCGCGCGCGCACACACACACGCAACCTGGGTCTTATAATAAGTATGATGTCAGAGTTTACGGTAGCATTAATAGATTATCTGGCGTCTTTGAAAACTTACTGAGAAAGATAATAGCAAAGCATAACGTGAATGCACATTGTCTTGCATGAAACTACTCTTTAGATTAAAGATTCTTTGTAGCGTGCGATGCTACGCAAAAATTCCCTTGTCCAAGAACATACATTCTCTGCATTCATTATATATGATCACCGACTTCGATGTTATCTATAATTCTCACAATTTATGTTGGCTTACTATTTCAATGAAAGACCCAAACTCTAGCCCAGCTGAAAGGTCCGTCCAATGTAGCTCGACATTCATCACTACAAATTATTGGTGAATTTTTCATGTAACCTCTTTAGTCAACGTATACGTTTCTCTTTGCAAGATTTACTTGACAGCGATTGGGTCAATGATTTCATGTCCTTTTCATAATATTCACAACATCAGCATCTTAAAATATTTATTTCTTCGTCACTCCCTTTTTCTTTTATAAAATCTCTTTTATCAACAAACTTAAATGCAGTTTTTTTTATCATATTTTTATCTGTCAAACCTTTTAATTTCGTTTGTATGTAGTAGTTCTGTGATTTCTGTTCAACTCATTCGCAATTACCAGAGCTGTCTTCCCATAACTCAATATCTAGTTCCACTTTGAGCTTATATCTTTCTTATGACTTACGGCAACATTTATATGTCTAAAATTAAAAAATAAGTATCAATAATTATACTAAACTATATATTTATACACGGTATGATGAACAAACACCGAGTTGCATAGAATAACCTCCCACTACGAAATAAATTATTATAAATGTTTATAATAATATCAGACATCATAAGCTGAAATTTGCATGAGGAAAATGGGACCAAAGACGCATTGAATTAGCAAAACGTGCATTCCAAAAGGGAACCAAAGTATTAAGATACAGGACAGTTTCGTTGGAAACAAAGAATGCTTATGGAATTTTAATTCTCTTATCTGGCAGAGTGTTGTAACCTAGGGAAAGTTACTGAATAGAATAATCACACAAAGGTTGGTAATGAACGATAGTACTTAGAACCCGAACAACACATATAAGATCCGCCAGCTGCGCGTAGGAGTAATCAACTGCTAGAAGTGGGTCAGGTGAATTCCACAATGACACTCAAACTGCAGGATATTTACCAACCGCCCCACGCGGTCAGATGTGTCACAAGGCCGGATTTAATGTGAGGTATCTGTGCCTGTAAGCTGCGAAAGAAATCTCCGTAGACCCCTTATAAAACGGGGTCGGGTAGCTGTTACCCGAGACGAGACTCTGCCCTTCTTCTAGGCTCGAAGTCAGAGAGTTTGACCAGTACAGCTGGAGACAAATCTCCGACTGCAGACCAACATACAGTATTTACTACTATATTGAAATGAATGGGAACATATCTATTATCGTTCGTAGATATGGTACAACACAGAGAATACTG